CCCCAAAACCCCAAAACCCCAAAACCCCAAAACCCCGTATGTGGAAAAGAAAGCTGAAAAGAGACAAAAATTAACATAATACTCAACTTAGAGTTTGCAAAGAAATGTTTGACTTCGATAGTTATTACAAAGACAAGATATTCGTATGAGATGAAAACTCATGTAGTGAAGACCCCATGTGCTTCAAGGTCAATATCTTAGACAATAATGATAGCGAGAACATAGAGTCTGGAGATACCATCCTGAGCGTCTCTTCGTCTTCACCAGAGAAAGAACTCTCGTTGGAGGAGAGAGTCCGCGAAAGAGTTACCAATGTTTGGCAAAGGATCAAGCACAGGAAACATAACAAAAGCCAGTTCTTCAAGAAGGAAACTGGGTCAGAACAGGAGCAAATCCTAGAGTTTATTAAAGTGCTCAATAGTGGATCCAAATGGGCCAATGTTAAGATGAGCAACAAAGCGAATGAAATAGCCTTTCCCAGCAAAAGCACTCAAGGAGGAAACAACTTACAAGTGGTTAAGCCCATACCAAAAAGAGCCCATATATCACGAAACAAGGTTTAAAGATCTTGACAAGCTAATGGAACGATTGACCCTTGAAAATTAGTTCTGGAAGTAATTTGCTCAACCGCGTTTGTACCCCTTTGAAGTTTTGCGAATATTCCAAGACATCAAAGAGAACTATATGATGGGTTGGGCATCCCTTTTGGAGCTGACCAAGTGGCTTATCCTAAATTTCTTAATCTTTAATAATATTTAACACACACATTGTCATTGGGTCAGTGGTAGAAGAGACTGGCAATCTAGATTCTGCCATCTTTTATTATACATTACGCCAAAATTTCCTTCGATCTGATGATTCGGAAAGGGACGAATAAAACTGGAGAAAGGTGTCTATTTGGAAATGAATCTGTCGAGCAAGAAATTTGGATTTAGAACCATAAAATACAGCAGGGGAATAGAACCCTGGGGTATCCAAATAGGACCAAACTTATTTCGTACAAAATTATTTGGAGCTAATGCTTCAAAAAGTTTAGAGCTCACAAAATTCACACCCATTGGATACACTGCTAATGTAGTTTTGGGGCGAAGATTTAGACACCCTTGATGTTCTGGTGTGTGACTCTGAAATATTTCACTTGATAAAGCAACCCAGACAGTGCCAAACTAGCGGCTTTCTCTTAATTCAGTTGCCTCTTTGTGAGAGATAGGCTTTTAATCTTGCCTACTATTAGGTTAAACCTTGATTCATTGAGTTCAGCTTAATAATTTTAATACTAAAATTGCTAGAAGTTCTTTCAAATATAAGAACCAGGTGAATGTATCTTTGCTGTAGGTTAGAATCAGTCCGCCCTCTCCATTTTGCCATACCACTAATAAACAAGTCTCTCAAAGTTTACTAAACAGCAGAGAATAATTTTGAAAATCCTGATCAAAAGTAGGCTCTTTAAGTAAAAATCTTCAGAAATTGGAATGAAGGTAATTTGGATGCTACATATTTTTGTGAATTTGATTGAGAAATCAAGCGATGATAGTATAGCCAGACTATACAACGAAGGATCTAAGTATTAAGCATCTCAGGCTTAGCTTATAACAATCGAATAAACTGCAAGAAGCTTTAATTGAGCAAGAACTATAAATTTTATATGTCTTATTTTTAAATTAACTCTGAAATTTAATTAATTCGATTTCGCATTGGGCACAACTTTTGATTCATATACCAATGATTACATAGTATTTATCCCTGCTCTGTCTATCATCTAGCTTGCTTTAAACGTAATGATAAATGGTGGCTTCGCTAATGGCATCAAAGTTGTGACATAACTTTGATATTTTGAGGTATTTATCTCAGTGACGACTCCTTAACAAGCTTAGCCATATCTTAGAATCTCTACCTCATTCAGTGAAATTTATTCCAAGAATCGGGCTAGTTCACTGAGTCATTGCGGAATTTGGCATGGGACAAAATATCATCTCAGTTATTTTTAAGAGACTTGAAAGACCTGTTTGATGAATAATTTCCGAAAGTGTTCATCACGGTGTACTATTCTCATGGTGTGCAGGTGGTAGACCAGCTGTCTGAGACCTACAAAAATTTATTCATACTTATCCTGACTAAAGTCTTAGAGTCTGATCTTTCATTGCTCATCTCTAATTCTTCAATTCAACGAGGAGGTTTGTACATGATGTAGTTTCGGATTTATCTGACCAAAATTTATAGAATTTCTTCAGTTGAACTTGCTTTTTGGTAGTGAAAGTTAATCAAGGTAATATTTACTCATGATTGTGAACACTAGTCACCCGAAGAAGTTAATCTCGCCTTCTGGAAGCTAGTTTTGATGAAAGTTACCTTCTAATCTAGCGACATTGAAAGAGGAACCCTTTGGGGATTCAATACTTAATTTATATAAAGGGGTTTTGGGGTTTTGGGGTTTTGGGGTTTTGGGG